TATGAGTGGGAGCAATGGCAGGGAGATCAAGGGGGTCAAGAGTGTCCTTGTCCTCTCTGTCTTTGATTGTTTGTCTTCATTTTTCATCTTGATTTTTTGTTTCTTCTTTTTTTATTTGCATTTTATCACACATTGTCCCTCTTGTCGTTTCCTATTTCCTTTAAGTGGTCTACATTCTGTCCATCATTCCCCATGTCTCATTACGGCTCTCCTCCTCCCTGCCTGTGTCCTCATTGTACCTCTCTCTGTTTCTCTTCTAATCTCTCTTCATCTCTGTTCATCCCTTCGTCCCTCCCTCGTCTGGATCTAGGCATTTAGGCCTCTAATTGAGCTGGCGTCACTTGAATACTTCATAAAGCAGGAACAGCAGAGAGAATCCCGCCATTGTTTTCTCAGAGATAGTGGGCAGGGGCTGTTGTGTGTGTGTGCGTGTGTGTGTGTGTGTGTGTGTGTGGTAGTGTGTGTGTGTGTGTGTGTGTGTGAACATTTTTGAGAGGGAGGGAAATAGAAACTATGGAACATTTTGCAATGATATGATGTATAATAATGTCCACCAAGCTACTATCACCCCAACAAGTGGACTCTCACGTGTTTTTCAAAGACCATTAAAGGGGCTCAATTATGCTTTTTGGGGTTTCTCACTTCTGTAACATAACTATGTAACGCTTGCGCTTCTATTGACTAAAATAGCAAGATAAAAGGACTAACAGTCACCCAAAATTAACCCCCATGATGTACCCAATATATTCACCCATTTGTCTTCATCATTTTTTTTGAATATATCTACAAACAATCACCTTAATAGCTTCTCCAGTTGGAGGATTTTCTGGTGACCTCAGCAGAGGTTATGCTTTCAGTTCGGTTTGTTTGTTTGTCAGCGGGATTACAGTTCACTGAGGTCTGCGCTCTGAGTGTCCTTCTAGTTTTTGATCTGATTTATTAAATTACTTATGTCTTTAGTTGGTTGGACAATATAATATTTGGAGGATTTAGCTTTTGTCTGACGTTTTATACCTAGAAACGATAAATAGAAACACAGTACTAGTTGCAGCCCTGCATGCCTTATTTGGTTATCTTTGTGCTTGTTAGATAGAAAAAAGTCATAAAAGAGCTTACACTCTTTCCTTGACATATTTCAAACAATGTGTTTCACATTTTCTGATTTGATTTTCTCAGCTGACACACCAACCATAGCCCCATTCCCAAAAAGTGAAATGAAGCAATGTGTTCCTCTTCCAAAATGTGTTTGACAGCAACTTTGGCTTTACACTAACAAATCCCAGCGCCCACACACACACACACACACACACACACACACACACACACACACACACACACACACACACACACACACACACACACACACACACACACACACACACACACACACACACACACACACACACACACACACACACACACACACACACACACACACACACTGACACAAATACCTTGGAACAGATCCCTGGCTTGCTCTAGCCTCAGAGGTGCTGATAAATCAGGGTGAGGTTGTGTGGTCTTTTTTTGATGCAGCACACAGTTGTAATCTTCACCTTTCACTTTCTGCCCACAATGCCCTGGGGCAGAGTGTGTGTGAGTCTGAGAGTGTGACACAGGGAGAGAAAGCAGGGCGGAAGTAGGGGGTAGCTACAGAGCGAGGTTTCTATACTTTCTCTCACTCTTTCAATGTGTTAGCTTTTTTCAGGTGGGACGCAGAGGTGGGAAAAGAAAGTGTGTGTGTGTGTGTGTGTGTGTGTGTGTGTGTGTGTGTGTGTGTGTGTGTGTGTGTGTGTGTGTGTGTGTGTGTGTGTGTGTGTGTGTGTGTGTGTGTGTGTGTGTGTGTGTGTGTGTGTGTGTGTGTGTGTGTGTGTGTGTGTGTGTGTGTGTGTGTGTGTGTGTGTGTGTGTGTGTGTGTGTGTGTGTGTGTGTGTGTGTGTGTGTGTGTGTGTGTGTGTGTGTGTGTGTGTGTGTGTGTGTGTGTGTGTGTGTGTGTGTGTGTGTGTGTGTGTGAAAAAGATGGAGAGAGAGAAATGGTCTTGAGTTGCAAATGGAAAGAGGACCCACTGCAGGATTATGGGCTCAGAACAGTCTCATAATACACACATGCGCACAGAAGGATTCACACTTGTATTTCATGATCCGCAAAAGGATTCACACTTGTATTTCCGGATCCACACTTGTGTTTTTCAATGCACACACAAATGTGTTCCGTTTCATATACATGTAAATAAAATCCAAATACAGAAAAAAGTTTTACATATGTATTTTTGATCCACACATTTTTTTTCCCGTTTAAAACCGCTGCACCTGCAAACACAAACCGCTTTCTGTGCACGGATCGCTTTGCATTCGTGTGTGGGTTTTTGGAGACTCCCCTGACGGTCAGCCGATTCGTACTTGTAATTATTTCTATGTATAGCCAATCAGATGTCTCCTCAATTCTAAGCCAATCACATGAGCGCGCCCCCACGAGGGTAGATTTCTTGCGTTCATGACGTAGCGCTTCATGTACGCATTTTGCGCAGTCTGGAGCTGACAGCTCCATGGAGCCTGCCTGCAGGCGCTAATCTCAGGACACCCTCCACTCTCAGTACAGCGCCACTTTCCGAACAGGAAATGCACGCAAATACAAACCTTTATATTATTAAGGTACAGCGCCACTTTCCAAACCATTGATGAATGCTTGTGTAAACAAAAACGGCAGGCAAAACCGTTTTAAATGTGTGTTTCCTGTATGGCGAATACAGCTGCTTTATTTATGTCTGTATGAAGTTGTTGTGAGTGTGGAGGGAGCAGCTACAGGTTAGCTAATCGATCAGTGCACTACGAAGCCAGTGCTCGACAGTGACCTGTTAACGGGGGGGGAGCCCCGCCGGTCATTATCGGCCGATATTCACTCTTAATAGTTTGATCGGTGCTCTCTATAAAGGCCGATCAGGAGAGCTGGATCTGATCGATATGGACATAAACGCGAGTGAAGTATAACCGGACGCAAGAGAGAGATCAGATCAGCTGCTGAGTCTGATGGAGACACGCTGCTCTGCATGATCACCTGATGCTCCGCCCTCTGTTTAGCGAGCTGACCGGACTGCGCAAAATGCGTATATGAAACTCTTACCCTCGCTCATGTGATTGGCTTAGAATGAAGGAGACATCTGATTGGCTATAGATAGAAAAAATTACAAGTACGGCTGACCGTCAGGGGAGTTTCAAAAAACCCACACACGAATGCAAAGCGATCCTTGCACAGAAAGCGGTTTGTGTTTGCAGGTTCAGGGGATTTAAACGGGAAACTAATAAGTGAGGATCAAAAATACATATGTAAAACTTTTTTCTGTATTTGGATTTTATTTATATGTATATGAAACGGAATACATTTGTGTGTGCATTGAAAAACACAAGTGTGGATCCGGAAATACAAGTTTGAATCCTTCTGTGTGCATGTGTGTATTATGAGACTGTTCTGAGCCCATACAGGATACCCTACTAATATATCCACACACGCACACACACACACAGAAATATGAAGCAGTGGCTGGCAGCACAGATCAGCACATACAGTATGAGACACACTGACATGTACTGTGTGTGTGTGTACATGTCTTTGTTCTGTCTGGCTGTCCTTTTGGCACGTAAATCATAATGGATCTCATTATCCAGCTGGGATGGTTTGGTGGGGCCTGTCTGGCGGGAGATGATAGCTGGATGGCTGAGGGGCTGCCACCACACACACACACACACACACACACACACACACACACTGATATACACACACTGACACACGCACGTATACACACACACACACATACACACACACAGATATACACACACTGACACACGCACATATACACACACACATGCACACTCAGCTTTATTCATGAATGCATTCTATTTAGCTTGCAAAGCTACTGTTGGAGCAATGAGCATATACGTTTCATTCTCACTCTCATATCATTAACAGAAGGAAATAGGAAATACGCTAATGCACACAGACGCCCGTACATGTGTGTAGGTGTGTGTGTGATGCAGTATATCCAGACACAATGGACATTAGTGGCTCAGCTTGCAGTCAGACAGAAGGGGAAGTGATGCACAGCAGAGGGGGGGAAGGATGAAAAATTGAAGTTATCCTTTTACTTCCTCTCTCTCGTCATCTTCCTTCTCTCCTTCTCTCTTTCTTACTTAGTTTTGCTTCCTCCCTCCCTCTCCATCTCGTGTTTGGAGGACACCGGCAGATGTCGGTTAGTCCCTGGAGGTGAGCGGGGCTTGTGCTGCCATCTTTTTCCTCCTTATCACGGCGCAGTCTCCCACATAGGATGCAAGCAAATCATGAATCAAGCGTACGGCCGTGCATAAGACATCGGTTGTGAGGAGAGAAAAAAAGAGAGAGTTGTGTCTCAGTAAATCACTTGTTTTGCGAGTCTTGTACACAAACACACACACACACACACACACACACACACACACACACACACACACACACACACACACACACCCTGCAGACACTGTGTATCTGGGGCTTCTCTGCTGTGAATACAGGCAGAGCAGCCGGTTGCTCGTAACACGGTTAGGGCCTACACCATTTGTCTGGACATGACCATTACCCGAGCCAATTACTGGCTGGTGTACAGGCCACTCGCCAACAACCTAATGTTTTCCCGTCATGCCTGCCTCCCAAACCCCTCCCCTTAAACACACACACACACACACACACACACACACACACACACACACACACACACACACACACACACACACACACACACACACACACACACACACACACAAATAGAGGGCGAGGGGGAGGGAATAGATAGAGAGGAAGGATTGAAGGCCTGGGGGCAAAACGCTTACCCCACCCGAGTGACTGACTGATACAGCTAATAAACTTTCATTTAAGCTAATGTTCCCTTCTTCCTGTTTCCTCCCTCTCCTTCCTTACCTTTTTTCTCTTTGCTCTCTATTTTCCACTCTTTATTTTTTCTGTCGTGCTCCAGAGGAAGGGTGAATCCGAGCAATCGATGCGGGCCGTCCACCAGCCGGAAGCCCAGTTGGCCCAACGAAACACCACTCAATCAGTCTGAGCAGCAACACAAAGGGGGGGCTGCTGGCGAGCACCAGAGGTACACACACTCTCCACACACAGCAGCAGATCCTGGACCCAAACTCATTTCATAAATCATACAAACACCCCGTGCACCAGCAGTAAATGTGATTCACTGGGTTTTATATATCAAAATAAACCCCGACCAACACAACCAACTATCGTCTTTAAGATAGCACAGGAAGCTCTCGCCTCCTCGCCACTGCCAGCCCTTCTATCTTTGAATACTCTAGGTGCTGTGCTAATTAAACTTTCAGACAAAGCAACTGCCATGTTCCTCTGGTATTTATAGCAGCTCAATGGGCTTTGTCTGAGACCACATTTGGCTGACTGTGAACATGTGTGGTTACTCCTGTGCTGGATACAGTATCAGTTGACAGTGGACATGCTCTGTGCAAAAGCTCTGCACCAAGTTGCTCTCACCATTTCGATTGCAGATGCAGTTTGAGTCTTTGAGTGAATATTAGGATTTGTGTGGTGGTTAGTGCTCGTCATGATGTGCGCCTTTGTGTCTTCAGTTCATCTGTTTTTAAGTGCGTGGTGCAAATGGGTTCCTTCTCTTTGTCAGCTAATCAGAAAAGGCTTTCTTTTCAAAAGACCAATCCCTTTCTTCACGAATACAACCATTTGCCAGAATTTCTTTTATTTAAAGCTTTGCTGTTTCTCCCAGAGGTGAAAAGTGTTTTTTAGTGCTGCAATTAACAAACCCATGGTAAAGAAAATAGCAACATCATCATTTCCCAGACCCCAGAGTAATGTCTTCAAAGAGTTGTTTTGTTCTCCAGTCCAAAGCTACTCTATTTACAATAATACATGAGAGAGAAAGTCAGAAACTTGGAGGGAAAACATCAGCTGACAAGCGCCCTGGTGACAGTGTGCCCAATTAAACCAATGTTCCCTTTGCATTGTAATAAAGTATTTATAGACACCGTACTCTACAGTAATGTTATCTGGTGTAACAGATACCTCATCTTGGCCATTTTACAACACAATTAACATTGATTTCCCACCTTAATCTGATAATAATTGGTTCCTCGAGACCCACCTCGTTTTAAGATTGACTATGAGCATCTAAACAACAACATCCTGAGCCTCACTAATTCAAATCATCTCTTCATGTGCCACAAGGATTAAGACAGATTAGGCCTCAACGGACAATAATCCGCAGCAAATCAGGGTCATCAGATGGCAGGGACAGTCTGAGGAGAATCCCTCTGCACATGCTCTCTGCGCAGAAGGACAGCGGAGGCGTGTTGTCAGGCAGCGAGCAGCCTCTTAAGTACACTGGATGGCTCACTCCTGTCAAGGACCTTTGGTGAGTGCACTCAAGTTAAATCACCTTGCTGCCCTACGTTATCCACGGAACTACACACTCTCACTCAAAAAAACTTGCTAATGATTCTTAAAGTAGAGGAGAAATCTCCTGGGTTTGAATAAATGTGATTTTTTTATGTACAGCATTTCTGCATATAGATTTCTTCCCTGCATCCTTCATGTTTAGCTCATGGCAACCTGAATCTATATCGGTGCAACCCTGCTGTTGGCTCATCTTTCTAAAAGTGTTGGCAAGTTTATTTATGTAGCTATTGAATCAAACATTGAAAGTATTAAAGGGGCCTTTTAATGCAAATGTGCCTGTTTACTTCTTTTCACCCTCTGTCTGAAACCAGAGCCCAGTCGACTCTGATTGGTTAGCTGCCCAGCTCTGTTGTGATTAGTGAACCGCTTGGAGATGTCCCGCCCCTTAGCCTATCACGTACAATGTGTAGTAGCGCTTGCCAGTAGAAATGCGAGTGGTACGTAGTGATGTCACTATGTTCCTGAAGTAAACAAAGTAGTCCAATGGAGGCGTTTCAGACAGGGTGGGAGTGTCTGGGAGAAAACTGGGATTTCATTCTTTGCAGACCCTTTACATGCACACAAAACGCTGAACATCAACGCTGCTTCTCCATGTTTAGTTTTCACTCTGAGGTCAGAAAGCAAACAGTCCAAGACGACCTGAAACACCTTGTACAGTTTGCGAGGCAGACAGTCGTAGTTTTTTTATAATAAGACAAGCAATAACAATAAATCCTACAGGCTAATCACCCGCTCGCCACTCTTCTTCTGTCCCAACCAAACCCAGAGCGATGCGGCATTACCTCGCTGCCGCCTTCAATTACGCCATTCATCATGCGTCTTATCGGCCTGCGGTTTGATTGAGTGTGCAGTGGGTGGCGTCGCTAACATCGAAATCTCCACACCGACGAGTGAGTGTGTGTGTGTGTGTGTGTGTGTGTGTGTGTGTGTGTGTGTGTGTGAGGTGTTGACAGGAATGGAAAACTGCATTTGGGGGGGAAGTGGCGGCGGATGTATTGCGATGTATGAGTGTGTGAGGCTGAAATACAGCGAGTGTGTGTGTGTGTGTGTGTGTGTGTGCACGGCAGATCTACAGGAGTGTATAAATCAAACCAGATGATGATCGTCCCCCTACTCTGATCCGCTCTGTCTCGGCGAGCACATTTCTCTTTCTCCCCCTCCTATACTGTCCCTGTACTTCCCTCCTTACCTCCTTCCTTCCTCCTCCTCCTCCTCCTCCTCCTCCTCCTCCTCCTCCTCCTCCTCCTCCTCCTCCTCCTCCTCCTCCTCCTCCTCCTCCTCCTCCTCCTCCTCCTCCTCCTCCTCCTCCTCCTCCTCTTCCTCTCTGGAACAGATTTGTCTGGGGGCCCCTGTCTAATCTCCAGCAGTGCCGGGTGTTGGAAGACGGGCGACACATTTTAATAAGCAACTGGGCGCTGTAATTTAGCGGCCTGGGAGGGAGATTAGGCTGATTGATGCCGGGCTCGTCTAATGGTCCAGCCTACGGCTCCCGGCCCAAATTGGTGGTAATGAAAGTTTTGTGCAAATTGAGATGGAGGAAAATACGGCATCCTCCCATCTTCCCTCACTCTCTATCTTCATTCAATCGCTGTATTCCTCTCACTGTTTCCCTGTTCATTTTCTCCTTTGCTCTCAATCTTTTTGACAAGGTGCGTCTTTCTCTCCATCTCCGTCCCTCACATCCTCCCCTCTTTCTTTCCTTTATCTGTTTCCATTTCAGGCTCTTTCTCCATCTTCCTGTTTCATGTCCACCACTCTTAAAATCGATGTGTCCCTCATCTGCTGCCTCTTTCTTGAGTGTGCAATTCTCTGGCACTCCTGAGTCACTTTCTGTCCCTATTTAACTCTATCTCCTAGGTTATTTTCTTTTACTCACACCCTCATTTGCTCCCGCCCTCCTCTTTCTTGCGGGAGATTTATGTGTGTGTGTGTGTGTGTTTGTGCAGATGGGTCGGGAGGTGTCGTCTAAGTCGCTCCTGTGTTGTCAGGACAAATTGCATCTAGATCTAGAGAGAGATGGTGCGACAAGCTGATGACTGTCCACTTCCACCATTCCATTTGTCTTTCTCTCCCTTCTTTTTCTCTTCATCCAACCAAATCACTTTCAGCTGGCCTGCCACTCTGTCAGACTCCTTCTGCCGTGGTGCGTTATTAGGCCGTGCAGATTCCCAGGCCACTTTTCAGAATAAAGCAAAAGTGTGCCAAGCTAGCAAACTCTGCATTATTTCAGTTATTTGAAAGTGACTAATTTCAGAAAGTTAGACCAAGCAGAATTCTAGCTTAGTTATTTTGCAGTTGGTTAGCTGATTGAGGTTTGAATATGAGCTTTACTTTTAGCAGTTTTCTTTTAATTAAATGCTTCTTGAAATGAGTGCAAGCTACAGAAACACACAATGTATCAGTGGTGAAAGCAGTATTGAGATCCTTTACTTATGTAACATTTTGCCTGTAAACATATTCTATTTAAAGTAAGAATACTGCATTGAGAATGTACTGTAGTCAAAGTATGTTCCGTAAAATGTACTAGGGGACAAGTAGTCCGAAAAGTGCAGAAAACCTCTCAAAATTATAAAAAAATGAATGGAAATATTTAAAAGGAGAAGCAGCAATCTTCCCATGGAGCTGGATGTGTAAAAAAAGTGTAATCAACATCAAAACATCATATTTTAAAGGTCTTACATTTGGTTGTGTGTGTGTGAATATCAGAATCTATAAAGTAACTAATTCTTCATAGTAAATGAAGTGAAACATATTTATATTAATATTGCAGTGGAGCAGAAGTGTCAGGGGTGTCAAACTCAAGGCCCGGGGGCCAAATCCGGCCCTCGACTTCATTTTATGTGGCCCCATAAGAGCTTGCAAAGAATATAATATGTTTATTATACGGTTACATGCTACTTTACAGAAGCACGTTGCCCATAAACTACATATCCCACAATGCATTTGAAATTTGACTTTTTTTCCAAAATGTTATTTTTCCCCCCCAAAATTTCACATTTTTTCCAAAATGTTTCCAGAATTTGGCTTTTCTTTTTAAATCATTTTGTGACATTCTCACTGAAGAGACTTGCAATTATTTGCCCTAGACTTCTGCTTTCAGACGTAGTTAATTATGAAGTTATTACCCTATCCGATAATAATCCAATGCAGAGGCAATAAAGTAATATAATACATTATTTTATATATATTAAATATTTGTATATGTATTTTTATATAGTCTTAAAGTTACAACCGGCCCTTTGAGTGCAACCTTAATGCTGATGTGGCCCGTGATGAAATTGAGTTTGACACCCCTCGTCTAGTGGCTTCAACATTGTATTGTACTCCAGTACTCAAATGTACTTTCTTACTTTCCACTACTGCATTGTATCACCAGATACTCTGTTGAGGGGCAGCACTGATCCAGTAGTAATAGAAAAGGTCAGTACGCTGTGTTACACTGAATTTCCAGGCTGTTGTAAAATACACTGGGAATGGATGCAATAAGTAAACTTGCCGGAATTCCTTCCTCTCGAGGAGTTCCACTTGTGATGTGTGTAGTGCGTACATGATTGTGTGTATTTGCCACATATACAGTCCCGTATTTCCCATTGTGAGCGGCTGTGTGTAAACCAGCTATCAGTCTCCCATTCACCAACAACAGAGCGACTGTCTTCAGACACTTTTCAGTCCCTTTTCTCTTAACTCCCACACAGCTCTCTACTCCGGGTGTTTTATTTGACTTAAAAGACGATGCTGCCAAACTCGTCCTCCTCCTCTCGCGCTGCCACATTGCACTGATCTATCATTAATAGCTTCATTAGCATTATTCCCCCTCTGAAGTGCTTGTGTATGTAGTTCAAGCTACAGCACGGATGCTCACATCATTAAAAAGGCGTATACCCTGAATTGTATCTATGTCAAAAGCGTAGGTGGTTAGCATGATATAATAAGGGAAAGGGAATGTGACATCATCAGCAACATTTCGGCCATCTTTGGATGATACCAAGGATCGCAACCTATTAACCGGTACGGCGAGCATAACCTTTTCACTTTAAACCTTTTTTAAATTGGCGGTAGGCACGTAGAGTTCCCAACAAAGTGTCTACACAGTCCCCCAAAAAAGGCCTCCTTTAAAGTTTCATAACTCACATTGCACAACCAGTGTCTTATTGTAATATCTTGGACAAATGTGGACAAGGAGATCATTTATTCCAAAACATCTGCACTCCGACCAAGGCTGGAGAGAAGACCAGCGAAGCGACCAGTTTGATGCTCAACAGGAAGACGCAGCTCAGTCTTTAAATGAGTAGCAACCGCCTGTGAGGTTTATCTTGGCGAGAGGCGGCCCTTGTTGATTGCTGCGGTCAGGATCCCAGACAACACAATGTAATCTCCGGCAACTGCTTAAACACAGTGTGGTTAAAGAGCTGGTGTGGGTCAATTTCACATTGGATGTGGCCTCTCTCCACAGGAGCTGTAAGGGCTTTGTTAGGATCACACTCGGCTTGCCAGAGTGGTTTGTCAGAGTTGATTGTTTGTTTTTCTTGGGGAGGAGAGAGGGGGGGAGGTTTGTATGTTTTCAAGGGATGACGGAAACATGAAATGTGGCTTGGACCGTAAACTCGTGGGGATTCTGTGTTCCCCGGTTTCCTTTTGTAGCTTGTTTAAAATGTCCGGTGGTCAGGCATGCAGTGTTCAGCACGTTGCACAAGTTTTCATGCAGGCCAGTGGCCTCGCTGTTTCTTGGAGAGGCAGAGCCATTTTGATAAATAAACCCTCGGGACTCTAAGAACAATGAATAATGCTTGGCTGCTCCCTCTACCATTCTCCCTTTGCCTCACTGGATTTGATCTCGGCACAGTACGTTTAAAGTTTTTTTTAAAGGTACGGAATGATCATTTTGATTATCTACCTGCCATGATGCAGGGTAGTAGTTGAGGGGCAATCTTCCAAG